CTTATTTCTAAGTAGTTTTTTCAAATTTTTCTCATATTAACAAGTTAGATGATTTGACTTATTCTACTCACAATCTATCAGCTCATTTTCATTCCATTTATATTAATGTCAAATATGGTTGAGGTCAGGTCATATTTTTTAAGTATTAAAACAAAGAGCGATTATAATTCCCTTAAAATTCACTTCCAGAAAATTCAGAATCTACCATCAATTCTCACAATTTTTAGCAAACTATTCCATACTTTATTTCTTTGCATGGCATGTGTTTATTTTTTATAAATGACATGGATTATTCTTCCACTTCCATAAAAATTTTTGAACAAAAGAAATTTATATATTTTAAATGAATTTTTGTAAAAATAATTATAATTTTCCACGACAAGAAAGTTTCTTGTGCACACTCGTTGTTTATTATAAAAATACTTTCAAATTTTGTGGGTAAAAAGATTTCAGTTTTAACTAGAAATATACAAGACCTTTGTGTTTTGCTCGTGGAACTACTTTTTTTCGTCTTGGATATTGTAGTTTAGGAGTACTGCATGAGCATGGAAGGTTAATATTGTATCAAATGAAAGGTCTGATTCTTGCTTAAATCTCTTGAGATCAAGCAGACTTGTTATTATTACATTCTCAATCATGAAAAGATAATTTTTGTTTGTGAAATGATACTTATATGCAAATTTATTTCCATTTCTGTTTTTTATACTCAGTTCTACCTTATTGTTCCTTTCTGATAATATTCACTTCATGGCATATCCATTTATAATTGCATATATCTTTCATTTCTTTTACTTTTAGGATATACTTCTTTGTTTCTTTGATTGAAAGATGATAGCATTCTGAGAGATAGAAACAGAAATGCGTTTAAAATTGGAAAGCGAAACTTGAAGTCATTCAAACATTCAAGTAAATAATTATATAATTACTGAGTGAAGGATAATAAGTGAAAATTTTATTATGAAAAAAGTCATTTAATCATTTGAGTGTGCACTATGTTCCATAACTTGAAAGCAAAATTTGAACTGAATACCAAAACATTTTTATAAATAATAAGTTTATAAGTATTAGTAATAACAAATTGTTATTAGCAACAATAAATTGTATTCCAGTTTTAAATTTATTAATTTATTGCCAGTATAAAAGGAATAAAATTAAGAGTCAAATGCAACTATATCATTGATTCATTACAAAAATAACAAATTTTAATCACTTAAATTAGCCTTAAGTTTGTGAGATATGAATAAAAAGCGTATGAAATACTTAATTGTAAGCTTGAAATTAAATTAGGCAGAAATTTGCTTGCTATTATGATCTAATAAACAATCTGTTAGTCTCAAAATATAATCAAAAAAGAATTAAACTATTTAATCATTTCAGTATTCTGCACACATTCTCATAATTTTCAAACTTCTCTAAAGCAATAACTTATTTAGATAATTAATAAGCTTAGTTTTTTTTTTGAGAGCATTTAACTCAATTCTTTTTCTGACAAATATAACAAATTTAATCACAGCGAAGTTTTCCACAAACTACTTTTTGATTAAAATAATCTGTTCGTCAATAACTTTTTAATAAATTTTTTGTCTGCTTCACTTACTAAATATAGTCTCCTTACAATTTGAAGCAGAAATTGATCAAACATATCAATTATTGCATATTTTCCAGAATATAATCGTACAGTGTATGTTTATTGTTGATGCAAATCGTAGATAATAATTATCTATTTAATATTTTCCTTGCTCTAATTACTGATATCGACGAACTGCATAGAAAACTTGACGTAACCTTCAATGAATTGAAGGGAATCATTAAAAGTAGCAAAGAATTTTCCAAATAACAAAAAAGTTATTTTTTCGTAAATATTAAAAACTATAATTTTTGATTAAAATTAATGCTTTATTAATAATCAGTGAAACAATCATTTTTAGATCACTGCTCCTCTATTTTCCAGTCGATTATTCGAGTATGGACTAAATGCAGGAGACCAAGAACTACTTAAAAGTTTGGATGTAACAAAAAAAATAGTGCTCACTTATCCATTACGTTTTTATGGTCTTGACACGTCAACCATATACGTAAGCAAAAGTTATCCTACTTGTAAAAATATTACTTAAGCTTGATATTGCGATTTTCAGTGTAATGATTGTTCTCAAATGTAATTAATTCCCTAATTGATGCAATGCAGTTCTCCATTTTCTGAAATCAAATTCTCATTTTTCTTCGCTTTTTTGTCAAAAAATTTCGGCAATTATATGTTAAAATCCTTTGTAATACAAATGAAAATATAAGAGTGTGTATTGAATTCTTGTAACTTCAATAAAACTTTTATCTTACTTTAGTTGAAATTTGATTTGTATTTACAGCACACAGAATTTTTCTTTGCTTCATTTTTTTTAAATACCACAACTTTGACATTGCTTATGCTATGCAAGGCGCTAGCTATCCCTAATCAAAGTTATCATGTAGAAATGAAATACAATAATTCTTCAGATCTCAAGTAATGGTGGTATTGGTGTGGAAAAAAATATACGATCTTATCAAGCAGGTGTTCTACCGAGTGATCTGAAGTTGATAGCAGTATTCTGGAATCGAAACGATCTCAGAAGCGGTGGACATGTTTATTTCAGAGAAGTCACAGGTCTCACTATTGATTACTAATGTGTGAAAAGCAAAAAAATAATTTTAAATTTTGAGGTCAAGTTGATATAAAGAAAATAATATCAGTAAAAATTCAAGCAGAAAAATTTGTAAAATGGAAATAATTTTCATTTTTTTAGGAAAAAACTAAAAAAACATATGCGAAAACTTAAATTTTTAAATTGTTCATTTCATAGAAGAACTGAACATCCAAATTACGTAGATAATTTTCAGCTGGACGTGTCCTAGAACGTGGACAAAGTGAAATTCGCTACCAATATGATGAAATTGCAAAAGTCAAAACTTGCTTATTAGTTACTTGGGAAAAGATGCAACCTCTTGGTGCCACGCCATTACCTGATGATGTTTGTTAATAAATTATAATCTACCCATTGACTTCAAGTTTTTCAGAAAGATATGATAGATCAAATTATATCTTAGCGTATGTATATTATTACTTAGTTTACTTGCATTACTTTTCAATACACATAAAAGTAATAAAACAGGCTAATTTAATTTGCAAGAAGCAATAAAATGTGAGCGAAAAATGCATACGTATGAGTACTACATATCAATTGAATATACGATAAATCAGAATATGAATATATTTTAGAATACGAATACATTTCAAGTGGCATTATTTATTACTGATAACGGTACATTTGTTAATTTTATATACAAAAATATTGGCTGGACTCAAGGAGCTGAGGTTTATAAGCTTTTTTTTTGTAAAATATAAATATTCATTAAATTTTTTGTTTAGTGCACTCACTAAATATGATCTTATTACGATTTTCAGCAGAAATTTATCAAATATCATCAGATATTTAATTAGTTAAGTAAAAAAGCACGAAAAATTAGACACTGTTTAATTGATAGCCGTATTTAACAAAATTTGAATTTTGCAATTGATACAAAAATTGTTTTTAATTTTATACACTAAGAACATGCTGTAGTCTCTTAAAGAATTTGAATTTATTGTATTTGTGATGATAAGGAGCAGAAAGAATTATTTACCGTCGCTTTTAAATTGAAAACATTATGATGAGTTTATATCAGGCTGGTTTTAACAAGGGTGATAGAAAAGAATATTTCGCTTTGCCAACATCCGGTACAGGTAATATCATGTACTTGGAAGAGTACGGTAATACGGGAATTCCTGGAGAATGGATGTTCAAACTTGGAGATGCAAAAGTAGAACGATGTAAAGCGGGTATTAAAGGAGACACCTGTGACGAAGGTCACTTTCTGATTACTTAAATGGTCATGTATAAGTGATTAGCTAAGATTTCTATTACTAAAGTAATTATGAGAATAAGAAATTACTTAAGTGGTTCATTTAATTAATTAATTTATTTATTAATTGATTAAGCACTATTTCGGAAAAATTTTAGAATGTTCGGCAGGAGAATGGGGCCCAGATTGTGCACTATGCTGCCACTGCGCGAGTGGTTCATGCAACGCAATAAACGGGGATTGCGTTGGAGGAAAGTGCTCGAGCTGTTGGACAGGCCCGCCATCCTGTCAACAAAGTAAGCAATTTCAGATTCTTTCCCGTTACTTCTCATAGTGTCTTAAAATCAGTTCACTTAAGCCTCAAAAAATTGCTGCACTTAACTGCCTTTCATTTTTTGAAAAAATGGTAATTGCTACTATGAAATCAAAAATAAACCAAAATGAAAGGTGCATAATTATTGTCACTTAACTTTAAATTCTTGTTTAATTAACAATAATTCTGAATTTCTAAGGCATTAAAGTTTTTAACTTAAGCTTATCAGACTAGTAATGTAATTGCAGTTAGTGTATAAATTTCATGAATGCATATTCAGAGACATCAGTGTAAATGAAATTAGTAATTTTTGTTATGGAAAAATCTTATCGCTTTAGTAATTTTATTATTTCACTTAACTATTTGCAAAATTGTAAATCTTATAGAAAAAGTCTGGATAATTGCAAAAGGAATAGTCAAAAAACTTTTCCAGAAACCAAAACAGCTCATACTTTATCTTTGCTTCTGATTGATTGCACGTGATTTTGTCTTGAATGTAATTTACGGGAAATAGAAGATAATAATTTAAGAAAAAGACGACTGTCACGCTTTGGCAACGGAACATTGCGTGCCAAACGCGATATCATTCGCAGATCATGACAGATGTGGTGAACCAATCCAAAGGTGTCAGTGCTTGTCAGGGTTCAAAGGTGATGGATATACGAAATGCGATGGTTTGTTTGTGTTAGCAATATTTTTTTCTCTCGTCAGCATACTCTTTCAAAACGAACAAACATAGGAGTATTTTATTTACTTCAAGTTCAAGTGATTCTGACTGATGTTCGGAGTTTTAGTGTAGCCAGTCTGGACGTTATAATCATGTAAAAGAAGCATTAATCCACAGTAAATTAATGACCGTAATTAAGAAATATTTTAGAAAAATTTTTTGACTGATATTATCGAAATTAGAATAGTTAACATTTTTCAAGAAAAATTTCTCGTTCTGTCTTTTTATAGTATCATAAGGAAATGATGATTTTGCCTTTTATTAATACTAATGGATAACTTTTATCTTTTGTATAAAAAAGATAACTAGCTCAATATTATAATTTAATATTAGCTAATAATTATTCAACAAATGAATCCTTGCGAGAAAAAATAGAAATTGTCTAATTTAGAAGACTTTTTAGAGTTACTATTATCAACTTTTATTAGATGCGTTAAGAATTGGCATTTTATTAGCAAATTATTTGCATTAATGTATTATCAATTAAAAATAGCAAAGTTACTTGCATTAATCATAACTTTCTAATACCAATAATGATGATAATGACAGCCATAAAATATCGTTGTCAATATGAAATATTATTTCACATGTTTTGATAGTAAGCAAGCTTAGATCAAAATTCTTTAAGTGTATGCTTCACTTGTAGATATTGATGAATGCTCGCTGCCAAATTCTTGCCATCAAAATGCGATCTGCAATAATACTCCAGGACGGTACTTTTGTACATGTGCAGAAGGTTTTATTGGAGATGGAATTAATGAATGTACAATCTCATTACTGTATTCCTATCATAGACACCAAGAATTACCAAAAGATAAGTCTGGAAAGTTGGTATTGCACCTAAAGCAACCTCTTCGAATTTTTGGCAAACAGTCAGAGCAGCTAACGGTAGGTCGCAATATATTGCCATAATATGAGATTATACTAAAATGTAGAATAGTAATTTTTAGTCTATTAACAGTAATAAAATATAAGTCATTGTTCCATTTTTTAATAATAAAGCAATTTTTGGGAAATCAAATATCAATTGCTATGAATATTATCAACACAAAGTTTTGTTGTGACACTTTTTTAAATTAATGTTTGCAGGTTTCGTCGTTTGGCATTATCTCCATAGATGATGATGATAATGATGATGATGGTAGTAGAGAAATAACGGCGATTCCAAGACTTGCGTCATCTGGATTGCATGGAATAGCACCATTTTATGCTAATATTAACCATCGCAGAGGTGATGGTCGGATATTTGCTAATGAGACATTTGGTAAGCTTTTTCTTGTTAAATACTTAGTGTAATTTTTGCAAGACAACTTTTATTTGCATTTCATCTTCATTATAGGAGAGTTATCTTTTGCATTCATATTAATGTTGATTTACTTTGACCAGTTCTTTTTATAATTCTTTGGTTTTCAGTTTTATCAGAGAAATAAAAAATTTTGATAATTTCAAAAATTATTATATTTTTTGGAAAATTCATGATCAGTACTGAGTTAAATTACCAGATGATATGCTAAAATGATCAGTGTAGTTATTGATTTGTATTGTTTTTAATGCTAATTATTTTTGTAGATACAGAAGTATTGTCAAGGGCTACAAAGACAGTAGTGAGTAATACAGATGACAAAAGTTTCATGGCTACAAGTGCAGTCTTGGTGACTTTTATCAATGTGACAGGAATCGATCAGATGGTTCATTTCCTCGTCGATTTTTAACTTTTTTTCACAACACTAAATAGTATAATGTTTATAGGAAGATGAAGTTTCAGAGCACAGGCAATTCATTTCAAATATTGCTTATCGGTGGAACTAATAAGCAACGTCAAAACAAAACTTATGCCCAATTACTGTACAAAGACTTGACATGGATTGATAGAGCTGAGGTGCAAATTGTTGATAATAAATTTTGATTAATTAAGTAATTATTTTCTATGTGGAAAAATTGAAAAATAATAATTACAAAAAATGATGCAAAAAGTTGGAAAGTAAACTGTCTTTATCCAGACTAAGTTATTGTCAAATAATAAAGTTAATTTTGCTATTTTGAATGCAGTGAGATGCAAATTTTTTATTTGAGCGAAGGAAATTATTCTTCTAGCAAACAGATATGAATAATTCAAAAGTTAGAGTAACATTCTGATAAGTTATTTTCTAGATTATTTTTAGGCTGGTATATTGACATATGGTTCTAAAAACCCGTTATTGTTACCTGGATCAGGCACCGATGATATAATACATCTTACCCGCGATAGTAACATTGCACAACCTGGACAGTGGCTATTTCGTGTTGATTCTGATGATGTACAAATGTGTTTCCATCCAAATCTTGTCGCACCATACTGTGAGGAGTACCAAGATCATCAGCCACATCCTACTACTCTAACATCGCCAAAATGTTTGTAATTATCATTTAGAGTTATCTAAAAGTACTAAACTAATTTCAGTACTTTTTTAAAGCAAATTTCTTCTCTAAAATTGCTTTTCATTTACAACTTTCGTATATAAAATATGGGAGAATTCAATGCAAGTATTAAGAATGCTTGAGATATTTCAGAAATATAAAACAATTAATGTTTCAATAAATTTTCTGAACAATATCAATATAAATTATGATCAAAGACAAAGTATCTGAATTGTAAATGAGACATAAAAGATATTCACAAAAATTAGTACTGAAGATTGAAAAGTTGTCGATAAACTGAACTGCTGATAACAAATTACATGATTTGTTGTAGTAGCAATAATGTTACATTTTTCGAAAATTGAAATGAAAATCAGTAATATTTGAAAATGTGCGGTTGATTTGTGATAAAAATGCAAAGTCAAAAGCATCAATCTTATTTTCTAGTCATTAATGAAGTAATGTCTACGGTAATTGCATAGATTTGTAGTAGAAGAAAGTGAAATATCGGATAAAGAAAAATCTGAAGTAGTGGATGAAGCAGAGAATGATGAACTGATAGAAATACCTGGACCCCAGGTGATTCAACCGGTACTCGTAGATCGGTTGCCATCTGATGCACATTTACCATCACAAAAGAATATTATCAAAAGTAATCAAGAAATAGTGAAAAACCTTCCGAATGTGACGCAAAAAATCGCCACACCTCACGTGTGAGTATTATTTTAATCATGCGTATAATTCTACCAATTAATACTCAGTTCTTAATCACGAATATATCTTTTGATCTTTTAGGTGATTTGGTTGTACAAGTCTTTTCATTATTTTTTCAAATACGAAACTTTTGATTACTTCAGGCCATTGATTTCACTAGACCGTCTCGATATCGAAGATCTACCTCCAGATGCATTTGACATTACTTTTCCGCCATTTATTACTGTTGTACCAAAACTTTTTACATCTTCTAATGTTGCCGGAAAAAGCGAAATTGTTACGGTTTACTTTTTTCACTTTACTTGTATTTTCAGTTTTTTTTTGTAAATTCTGCGAATAAAGGGCAATTTTAGTTTTTTTGCTTCACTTACAAATTCTAAAATTTTTTTCATTTAAGTTTACTTACTACTTTTTGAGAGCATCTATGACAAAATCGCAATTAAGGGTGTTGAAAATGAAGCGACATTATCAGAAAGTGGTATCAGTACATCCACGGAAATATCAGAAGATGCTTTATCCGCTGTCCATACTAGTGTTGGAGGTATAACGACTGAAGTGTTCACGAAATCTTCCGATTCTTGGCTAACATCCACTGAAGTTACGAAACGTATTAAGCAAGTTAAGCCAACAAAAATTGATTTTGATTATGATGATCGACAAACTCACATCTTTGTTTCTGATCGTAGTCCTACTGAAGAAATGCCAGAATCTGCGATCGATCAGCAACAGAAAAAAATTCAGCCATCTCAGGTATGCAAATTTTTACTCTTGTATAATTCTCATACTGAAAATTGCAAGTATGGTTGCATATTTTGACATTTAAGAAATCAACAGAAAAGGCTTTGCCAACAGAAGTTACAACTTTGGATTATGAGGAAAATGACTTACTACAATCCATTACAACCAGTAAACCGCTCTTCATTTTCACCACAATCTCAAAGGTATGCTTAGGTTGTACATACAGCAATTTTTTTCTATCAACCAAATATTTATGGAGAAAAAAGTACTTGAAGAACAAAGTACACTTAAAAAATTTTGAACACATCCGAGGTAATAAACTTGCAGAAAAGACCAATGCCAACGAAACCGAAATTAATCACAGCATTTGGAACATCGCTTGCTACACCTCATGGCCCTTATGATATTCGAAATGACGTGAAAATTGAAGCATCTAGCAGTAGTTCGTTGTCTTTTCAGTTTTTGATTCTGTTATGATTCAAACATTTTCGATTTTATCTCAACGTTCCATTAAATTTACCATTACTAACTTGATCGAATCAAGAAATGTGCAAATTTCAGGTCTTGCTGTAATTATCCCAACTGCAATAATTGCCGTATGGCTACTACTACTTGCAGTTATAGCACTATTTTGTTGCTGTCGAAAGAAGCAAGTTTTTTCAAATTTGCTGTGTTAATTAAGTTTTAATTAATAGATTAAGTAAAAATACACAAAATCAGATTGAAGCATCATGATATTGTAGACGAGCGGAACGTCACTTCAGAGATATGTATTTTCCGAATCATCAGCAGATTTATCCCATCGGGACGGCTACATATGCTCTTCGGAAAGATTCAAAACACTTCAATGGATCCTACGAAGACCATCTTGAAAAGGCTGCAAGACTTAGCTCTGAACTCAGTTCTTATAATCAGGTAAATGCTTATAAAATCATTTTATCAATTTTACAGAAGGCAACTTTAGTAACTCTAACTCTTTTCTTGAAACCAAAACTTTTAAAATTTTTAGGCAAAAATTATGCTCATCTGAATAAATAAATATTAAACATGAAAAATAATTTGTAGATAATACTTGAAAAATAATGTCACAGTTCTGTAAAATCAACGAAAAAACCTTTTAACTCATAATAGATTTTTTTTCCTTTTAGAATGGTCGCGTGTCATTGTATGGTTCTTACTGGAACCTAACACCTGGCAATGCATCAGCTAATTCCACTAATGGCTTATCCACTAGTAACAGGCAAAGCCCTTATTCACAATACAGTACTCAGCAGGTTTTCATATTTCTTCATAACTTTTATTACAATAATAATTGAAATAAAATATTTTTAAATTTTTCACTGTTTGAGTGAAGTAATTTCACTGCAGTAATCCTTTTGAAGATAATTCATATTTATTATCAAGCCACAAAGTCATTTAGTTACTACAAATAATAAATGCTAACTACAGTAATGCTGAAAACACATGATAATTGATGATACCGTGCTTCTATTTACTAGCATAATATGCCTTTTTCAAATATTTTTTTAGGTTGATAATCACCACATTTCAGCGTTATACTTATGGTTCACGTTATTGACAAAAAAATTGTATGAAATGAAGAGGTCAGTTAAGCCAGATTCAATTGCTCGCGTCGTTACTGTACCGTCTTTCATCACACTGAAGAGTGAAATTCATTTATTAATTCCTTATCAGTTTGTAAATTGAATTTCATACTGTAAATCAGATATACAGTATGATAACAGTGTAAGGAGTGAAACCTATAGCTCATGACCTCTCCACAACCTTTGACCTGCTCAGCATCACATGACATCATCATCTGTTTCATATCAAACATCCCTCCATCCAGAGACTAACAATACTGCAATTTGTCATGCTAAAATTCGATATTTTGCTATGCTTTGTGCTGAATTTCGCCTTTCCACTGTATCTTCAATGAAATTTTATTGCCCACACTTCACTTCACACTCTGACTTCTTCCTCAATGATGCACGATGACTTATCACTCTTAAATCATGTTGTATCATTAACGAATGAATATTACGGGACTGCTTTAGTTAGAGTAATTAACTAATTTCTCCCAAATGTCCTTCATGGCTAATATTAGTAAGACTGAGGCAAGCTGAAGTAGCAGCACTGACTTTTGCTTCAAATATGCTAAGTATACATCATGATTTCATTGAATGTTCACAGGTTGTATATTATTGATTGCTCGGAATATGTAAAAAAAATTCAAGTACTTTTATATTTATATCTATAAGAATGAAGAAGAGATGACTGGAAATTGAGATTTCAGTTCAAAATTTGAGTTTTTCTGCTAATTCATTTTAAATAATGAAATATTATTTGGAATTAAAAAAGAAGAAAATGTATTTTTGTAGATGAATACTGACGAGTATTTGAATTGATAATCTGTTTTTGTGGGTATTTTTGTTGATTTTTGAATAATTTTAAGCCTTGAGTAGTCAATGATTTGTTTTTAGGAACTCAGTGAAGTTTATTTGAAAATTTAAAGATTTAATTTCACACTATGTAATAATAAATGTGTCAATAATAGCAAAACACTATTTCAAGAATTTATTCAGAAAATTATGAATAATTAAGCAATTTAAAAACAATTCATCTTTTGAACATTTGTAAAATGCATATTAAAAAAGCACAGATACTAAAGTAATAAACTTATTAATACTATTAAATTTAATAATTTTGGTTGAAAAAGTTCAATTTTTAAGATTGTTATTGCACATAAAGTTATGTTATCGGGGAATATTAAATCGATAAAATAGAATAAAACATTTTTATATAAGCATGCTTTCTTAGCATTTATTTTTGACCAAACAGCCTCTTTTTATTTGTGTTAATTTTTGCAAAAATATTCAAAAATCTTCAATTTTATAAACTATATATATATATTAGTAAATTATTTGTGTGCGATCAAAGTACGCTTTATTTTTGTACACAAATTGCTTACGAACATATCTTCCAAAATTTATTTGATTCTTAAAATAGCTGGCATTGTCAAAATACACTGGCACAACCATTTTTGAATCGCAAAATTTTGTTATCAGAAAAGATACGAATTATAATGTCAAAGTTAAGATTTTAAGCAAAAAATCAGATAATTTCCTGAAGCATTTATTGATTTCTTATCAATTCAACTGATATGTTTCAGGAAATATACCGCGAAAAAATTATTCCGTTCAACTAATATCGTTAAAGTCATTAGCTGATTACAACATTTCAGTCAAAGCTGATAACTGTCAGTCATGAAAATTTTTGTCTACTCAAAATAATTTAGTTTTAATTTTAACTTTGCTTCTGAAAAAAAGAAAAAAAATATTTGCATTACTTTTTATGTACAGACGTGAAAACTGATGTATTTTTCAAATATTCTCAAAAGCTAATGTCTATGGTTGAGTATTCTGCCTATAATTTATCTATATCACTAAAAAATGCTGTTCAAATGATTGCAAATTCATTGGCAAACATGCTGACGATAGCAACCGGCTGCTCTCAGGTGATCATCAGTCAATTTCTTTGTTTACAAGTGTGGTAACGATGCAGTCAACTTAATTTTTATATAATTTTGTAAAAGAATTTTCTACAACTACGAAAATTTTCAAGAAAATAAATTTAAATTATTATTTACAGGAAGTTATACCAATATGGGTTCACTTGGTTATTTTTGTACTCCGTATATGGTTTATTGTGTACGACTGCATAACTTACATACCTTATGAAATACTGGATTCGCCTACTGTCAAATTAAGAAAGAGTGAAAAAATACGGGTTTGGCTTAAATATTTCTAACCATTTTGAGATTTGCTGAATTTATACACATTTAATGTATGTGTGTCAAATATGAAGAGAAATTGAGTTATAAAGTTTCTAATTTTTTTTTGAAAATTTTAATTTCTTAGAAACTTGCACAGCTTACATTGGAATATTTTTGATATGTGTTTACAGTAATTAAAGTTAGTTGTGATAATATTTTGAGTGGCTTTTACATGTGAATTGCTATCTAATAACACTAATCACATAGAAATGCCATTATACTGAGGGATAAAAAATTTATTCAGTTCTTAAGGTTCCAATGAAAACAGGACCTGATTGAAAATTAATGTGCATTGCATTAACTGATTTACCAAATTGCTTCGACATTGAAATTTAAAAACAAAAATTTGAAACTTTAGCAAATCAATACTGACTATATATTTTTTTCTATAGAAATTGACAACCGATTAATCTCATTTTGATATGTTACTTGTTCAGATTCAGATCTGAAACTCGACTCCATGTTGCTATATTTAGGCTAAACCCGTGAAGGATAAGAGCACACCATGGCGGAACATAGATGGTCCTATTACTGAAGATTTTCCAGGGAAAGATACCGTAGACAAACTATTCACCCATGTTACCAAGTTATTCGGAAACAAACCAGCTTTGGGTACTCGAGAACTGCTGCAAGTGCAAGAAGAAATGCAACCGGATGGACGGATTTTTGAAAAAGTCCTTTTTTGAAATAATGCATAAAAGATTTATTACAGGAAAGAGAGTAAATACTGTAGAAAAATTGGATAATTGCAACAAATACAAATTGCAGTTCGTTGGATACTTTTTCCTCTTTTAATTCTTATAGATATTTTAGACAGTTTTTAATAGGACTATCTGTATCAAAAAGTAATTTGAAATATATTGAATTTAGAATATTTGATACAAAGTTGACATCATTTAGCTTCATGATTATTGAAATATTTAAATAATTTTAAAGTTTAGTGGGTTATGGGCCGTTACAAGTGGCTAAGTTATGCTGAAGTTCGTGAGCAAATAGGTCGGATCGCTTCAGGAATAAAAGACTTCAAGGAAAATAATAGTCGCGTAAGTACTTGCAAAGTTTAATGAATTATTGTTGAAGCAAGTTTTCATGATAGACACTAATTTGTATGGCAATCTTTCATCACTTTCTTAAAAAACAATCATGATTCTTTGCTATAGATATTATTGTTTTGAGCTTTTCTACATTACCAAAATTGAATTAACTATTTATGAAATAAATATAATTCAATCTCGTTATTGAATATAATTAAAATTGATAATTTGCTCTTCTGTACACAACAAATATGAAGGATTACTAAATACAATTTTATAAAATTTAGAGCAAGTTGACTTTAAGCATCTAATCATTCAAAAATGCCTAAAATTCAAATTTCTTAAGCTTCTTATTTAGTTTCCAATGAACTGCACAATACTGTAATGATTTAGGCAGTAATTTTTGCTGAGACTAGGGCTGATTGGCTTATCACTGTATTATCACTCTTTCGGATCAATGTACCAGTAGTGACAGTTTATTCAAGTCTTGGAAAAGAGGTTCAGTAAAATGATTTACATATATTTAATGAAAGCACTGACAGAAGTACTAATAAGTTATAAAATTAAAGTTACAAAAGTTACATTTGAATGATGATAAATAAAATTTGATCAGTAAATTTCGGTGATAAATTTTTAAATGGCAATAGATTTTTTCTTGCTAAAGCGCAGTAAAAAGTAAATTAATTTCAGTTTTCACTTTCAATATAAACCGATTTTTTTCTTGACAGTTGCACAAATTTTGCACAGTGTAATAAATCATTTTGTTTTTTTGTACTAAAACGTCAAATATGTCGTAAAACGTTTGCAAATTAAAAATGCTTAGACTTACAATTAGTATTTGGGAATGAGAATTATGAATTAATGAAACCAAATAAATTGAAAATTACTTTTACGCTGAAAAACTGACTGATTAGAAAATGTAAATAAAAATGTGTTATTAATTGCTAAAATAAATAATAATGCAGGCAATTATTCGGGCAATTATCGAAACAGAAGCTACAATACTGATAACATCAGCAGAATTGATATCAAAAGTAACAAAAATTGGCAAAAAATGTCCAACACTGCGCTCCTTAATCTATTTCCCTCCAGTACATCCATCTAAAAGACTGATAAATTTGAATATCTTACGCGAAGAGTTTAACATAGTTGTGTCGCTGGATGATTTAGCAAAACATGAAAATAATGTTCCAGGTAAGGGCTGCTGCTATCACTTATCACTTTATCAGTGTAGAACGTTTGATTTACATAAGAATATTATTAGCTGAAATACTGGTATAATGAAATAATGTTTTGACCATAAGTATTAGTTGATTTTGATATGTTGATTAATCCTCTTTAGTGATACAAGTTAAGATCCTTGTTATGACCGAAAAAATGATGCAACATAAGTGATCGAAAGTAAATTTAGAGTAGAGTAAAAATATTTCAGATGTTTCAAGATTTCTTGGTATAAGATATGAATTTTTCAAAGTTATTATTAAGTTAAGTAATCATTACAGAAGAATCGCCAGCAAAACGAAACGACTTAGCTATGATAATGTACACGAGTGGTACTACAGCGGCTGCAAAAGGAGTAATGCTTACACATTACAATATAGTGTCAGCAATTGCTGGATTAGGATCAGGAGTGGCAATTATGAGTGAAACCGATACGTATATTGGATATTTACCGCTAGCTCATATTCTAGAATTTTGCGCGGAAATGACCTCTTTGGCCAGCTACATTTTATTTGTTTTTTTTTAATTTTTGATGATTTCATTTTTCAGTTTTCTCAGTAACATTTCCAAGTGCTCTCGACCAGATTATTTCGTATCGCTCCAACATTAATGAATTCATTAATTAATTCTTACTTAAAAATAACATTTTACTTGTTAGAATATATCACATTATTTAATACGCTGATTTCAGATCCGAGGTTGTCGTATTGGTTACTCAAGTCCATTTACACTTCATGATCGTAGCGCAAAGATTAAAGAAGGCACTCGGGGAGACTGCCGCGCATTAAAACCCACACTTTTGGCAGCAGTTCCTGTCAGTTTTTAACTTATCTATAAGCGAAGTAAATAGCTAAACAATACTGGGTACTGAGTAATATTTGCAATGAAATGTAAACTGTAGAATATGAACTTATTAAGCAATTCTATGCATAATTATTATATACATTAACCATTCAAAAATCTGGAAAAATTACTAAGTAATTACAGAGCGACTAAAATGTTTTTATTTCTAACTGGTCTTTACGTTGTATTTTGCTATCGGCATGTAATCAAATAAAGTGATGATATTCGAAATTACATAATAAAAAATCCAAAGTTTAAAATTCAAAAGTTATAGAAGTCCGCAGTTTCAGACAATAATGGATAGAATATATAAGGCAGTAAGCGATGAACTTGCTGTAAGCTCGCCTCTTAAACGAGAAATTTTTCAATTGATATACGAACGAAAGCATTTACGATATCAACAAGGATATGCAAGTCCATTTTCGGACAGGTTACTTTCCGAATGTTTTTTGCGCAGGAAATTTGGCTGTTGAATTAGTTATTCATGCATTTTTTGATTCATCAACTTTTTGGCTTCAAAAATATACAATTTTTGTTTACCTAAATTGTATGTAAACATATAAAAAAGTTGTACATACTACTTTTTATAGTCTGTTAGCATAAAGTTGATTCATTATTGGTAATTATTTTCAAAAATTTATCACAAAAGATCACTTAAGAGTGAAAAAAGATTGCTTAGGCAGAAGGAATCAGAAAACAATTTTTCAGAATTGTATTCAAGAAGATTCGGCGTTTTCTAGGGGGAAAATTACGAGGTGTACTATGTGGTGGAGCAGCGCTAAATCCAGAAACGCAGCGCTTTATGAATATTTGCATGTGTTGTCCAGTTGTACAGGGATATGGTTTGACGGAAACATGCGCGGCCGTTTGTGTAGCTGATGGTATAAAATTTCTTACAATAAGCAGAAATTGGAAAATTTGTAATGCATTTTAATCAAAATATTTTTGAAGGACGATTTTTGTAACATGCAAAGATTTTTGAAAAATAAAAATAAATTTTGCAAGCAAATTAATGAAAAATATTTAGTCTAAAGATTTCTGTTGAAAAAATTGATTTCAAATGTAATTCCAGTCAACGATTTAAGTACCGGAACTGTGGGACCACCTCTTCGCTGCTCACAGATAATTCTCAGAGACTGGAAGGAAGGTAAATTATTACAAATTCTGAGCAAAGATATTCTTTATGCTAAAATGAAAATTTACATTGCTTAATACCTCTATTGACTAGTTCAGATATTATAATCAAGTTGTTCTCTAATAACTAAAAAATTAATTTATATCTGAATCAATCATTTTATATTGAGGAGGGTATTCGCCATTTAACGATCCACCTCAAGGTGAAATACTTATCTCTGGTGCAAATATATCTCCTGGATATTGGAAACAACCGGAAAAAACAGCTGAAGATTTTATCATTATTGACGGGATACGATATTTTGCAAGTGGAGATATAGGAGAAATTCGTAAAGATGGATCATTATGTATTATTGGTTCGTATATTTTAAAATAAAATATAACATTGGAATAATTCATTCAAAAATTCGGCTAAATTTTATGTAATCCATACGAGTTGTAATTAAAGAAGAGAAATAAACTGTTGAAATTGTTTTTCAGATCGAAAAAAAGATTTGATAAAACTTCAGCATGGTGAATATGTATCATTAAGTAAGATAGAAACTGCTCTCTTGAACTGCTCATTAATTGATAATATTTGCTGCTATGGAAATCCATTAGCATCATATTTAGTAGCGCTTGTAGTACCGAACAGAAATCATCTCGCAAAATTGGCTAGCGATGTTTGTTTTGCGTTTGCTTTATCTTTCAAATTAAATTCGAAAAAATGACCAGTTTAATTACGCTTATAAATGAATTTTACGGAGAAAAATTTATTGAAAGTTGGCTAGAATGCACAAATTCAGTAAATAACGAGCACTATGCTGCATTAGAATAGCAGCGAAAGAAAGCTCAACAAATTCCAGGCAACATTAAAGCTATTTGTATCTGTTTCAGCTTGAAATAAGCAGATTAGCTTGGCCTCAGCTATGCCAAAATAGCAAAGTGATTCGAGCATTTTATAGGGCCGTAGAAGAACACGCCGTCAGAAGTGAGTTTTTTATTATCGATCTTGTTCTTCAGCAACTTTAGCAACGTACGCTGAACAAAATCTGTATTTTTCAGAATTCGATTAGAATTTTTAATTCATTGAGTACTAGAATTTAAATGATAAAATTCTGATTCTGCGAAAGCTTCGTAAATACTTAAAGCGCCATTATTTCGCATCATGAATAATCTTGTAAAAAAGGAAAATAAAAAAGTTTATAAAGAAAAGATATTGGAATGCCAAAATGTACAGTGATGATTAAAAAATCAATCTCCAAAATAAGTTACACAAAATGAAGTTTTACTCAAAATTTCGACAAAATGCAAACAAATTGATATAAGCGATTGATTGATTTTAGATCATTTGTTAAAAAACGAGTTACCAAAAAAAATTCATCTATGTGATGAAGTATGGACATCTGAAAACGGTTTACTTACTGAAGCACTGAAAATAAAACGTCGTCCAATCCAAGAAAAATATGAGAAAGTAATCGCAGAGCTTTACAGTGATGACATAGTGATAAGTGATGTTAACAACGTATAAATATGTCATAGTTCTTGCCCTCATGCACTCAAATTTAACTTATACGTGCAATACACGCTTTGTTCAGTCATTTTCGTAATTAAATACTGTTCTAGCAAAAAGTCTAACCATACAAACCGACCATGGAAATGTCTGAAAACTGTTTCGGACATACATTGACTGTTCGTTCATTGCTTCAGAAAAATGCTACAGAGTCTGAAATTCGAGCACAAAAATAAACTGACTTAATTTCTGCAAATACGAAGGATCTGTTTAGTATTAAATATATTCGTTGAATAATTACTACAACTGAGATGTCATAATGAGTCCGAACAGGACTCAATCAAAAAGGCAAAGGTCAATTAATGCAATCACTGCAAAGAGTGAGTGCAACACTAGAAAAGAGAGAAAGAGAGAGGGGGGAAAGAATGAAAAGAAATAATAGTGTGGCTAGTCAAGGTTTTGATTGTACAAAAAAGAACAGAAACTGCTACAATATAGCACTGACTTCTACGCGCATTTCTTTCCCTCTTTCTCATTTCTCTCTTCTACGTTTCTTCTCTTTCTTTCTTTTCATCCCTCTGTCTGATCTCTGTTCTCTTTCTCTCTCTTTTCTCCTCTGCCATCTACATCCTTTTCTTCGTCTTATTCCTCTCCCTTTCTTTCTTTCTCCTTTTCATTTTCTGTTTCTTCTCTTCTCTTCTTTTCTTTCTCTTTTTAATTCCAATTACCAACATACTTGTAATCCACAAAAATTAGTCAGTCAGTCACTAACTCACTCACTCACTCATTCACTCTTTCACTCACTCACTCACTCACTCACTCTTCCTCTCACATAGAAGGCGCTTAGTCCATTTTCGGCTTTTCGAAGAGTAACAGTTCAGTTCTGTTGGATTCTGCTCGTGTCAGTGCATCTACTGGTCGAGCAAGACGAATCAACCACAATTATTGCAAAAAGATAAATTATAGTTTGAAATAGTGAAAAGTAGTTTTCCCATTGTAATGACAAATTTTTTCCAAATTTCTCACAGAATACTGTATTTTTTCTTTAAAATTTTTATCCATTTTAGCAAAAACTTCAGTAGCACTGAAAATAAGTCAATTCAGTTCAGTTCAGTTCGGTTTGGTTCAGTTCAGTTCCTACTTCTTTCAGTGCTGTAAGTGACTAGAAAATGAATGAAACAAACCAAAGTTATTAGTATTTTTTTCTTTGCAGCAAAAATTTGAACGAATGGATGGAAGATTTGGAGGCCTGGAAGTAATACCAAGTGTCAAATTTATTGCTTTCAAATTTATTTTAATTGTAACAATCTACTGTTTGCTTTTTTATCTTATCTCTAAAAGACATTTATTCACTCATGTACAAAATATTAAGTTTTTGAAGTAACTTGGCTTATATGAGTTCTGTTTCTAGAATAAATTTTAGCTCACAATTTTTTTATTTCGGCAGGGTGAAATTTCATTGCACACATTCGCAGATGAAATTCTTTAAAGCATCACAGATGAAAATCAAAAGTTATGTTGAGAAGAGTTTCTGTTTGTATTTCACATTTGAAAGAAATTTGAATAGTAGTGCAAGCATAACTAACAAATGCGAAAGCATATTCTGTTTTCAATGAAAGAAAATGATTTCAAATTATTTATGAAAATAACTAATTATTCTTCTTACAAATATTAATTTCTCATAATATTTATTATGGATGAACAAATTACATTCCTGTATGACGAAATTTTCACATATTTTACAGAGAAGGATGACTACAATGAATAATGTCATTTCGCTCAACCTTCAAGTAAAATTTTTTCTGAACCCAAATGTCTGGTGGGAAGATTTTACCACTTAAATGGCAAAAAAATCGCTTGTCATTAGTATGAATTTATCTCACATGCGTGAGATCTTTGTGGCAAAAATCACATGAAAACTGTTTAATATTCATATGAGATTTTATATGATCTTTCAAATGTCCTGCGTGAAAGCCTTACTACAAATATGACAGATGAACATCCTTTCTCGTGTATGAATCCTCTTATGAACATTTAGACTATCTCGTCCCGAGAAATTTTGATTGCAAAAATCACAACAGATGGTTTCTCACCAGTATGAATTCTCATCTGTCTTTTGAAATTTCCTAATCAATCGAAAGATTTATCGCAAATACCACAGGGGAACTCATTTATCCTTGCATAAATTTCTCTATGCGCTTTGAACTCGATTGATTGATTGATTTATCATCAAATATCAGCTTTAATCGGTTAAATACTTTTAAGCAGTGTATTTTTCTGAATGAATTTAGTATCTTTGATTCTTTCGTTGTTTTGAATTTGCTGTCTTCTCTTTAAAAAATTTCAAGCTGCAATTATTTAAAGTGAAAAATATTCATGAATGAATTCCTACTGCTATTGCAGTTGTATTTAAAGAATTTTGAATTCAGCGAATGTTAGTGATGAATTACATACTGCATTAATGTCGAATTTGGTTTGTATTTATAGGAACTGATTTGGATAGTATTGATAAATTCATCATCTTGATCTGATCGAGTTCATCAGTTGCCTTCGTTTGCTATACAATTTCCACATCACACAAAGTATAAAAGAAGCAATATACAGAACAGCGTTACTAGAATTGTTTTGAAAAACATATTTTAGTTTGATTGAATATAAGCCAAACAATCAGATAAACAAAGAAAGTCATTCTAAGAATCTTAAAGTGATTATCGAATATACTCTAAAATATAACTACAACTGAATCATTAATATATAATTGCTTAACACATTAATACATTATTTCTGAACCAAAGTCAGTCCTAAATTATATAATTCAAAAATGCAGTAGTAATCCTAATGGAATTAGTCTACTTTATAATCAAATAGTGCTGAGGCCGGCATCCTTATTTTCACATTACAGATTAAATAGCCGTTAGCCGAATTCTGATAAACTTCAAAGCCTCAGATTTTTGCTAAGAAAAAAATAATTCCAAAGCACCTTTGATTTTCGCCAAAACATACATAAATATGCTATAAAGCAATGTATTCATTTTAATGTCATAAATTGCTTTTACATTTACCTTTTCTCCTCTTGTTTACCAAAAATCAGAGATTATAAAATTTATTCATATTAACAAATAATTTTTTAAGCATTCAGTGTCATAAATCAGAATCGCTCAAAACTGCTCCCAAATTATTGGTGCATTTTACTTGTTTGAAGTAAAGTCATTTCAGTTATATTCTTCCAGTTATTACAAATATTAATCGTTCATTCAAACATTCTAAATTAACGAATTTTTAATTACTAATTTCATGCCTGAGTTAAAAGAATATTTTTTGTCATTTTTCCGCCATCAAAATTTAGAATCTCAGTGCATGGAATAGAATAAATGAATATCGACAGAATGATTCTATCATGCTATCAAGTAAAAGCTATCATCAAAGATTTCCAAAAAACTATGGACTTTGACCACAAAATTACAAACTTTGCATAATTGCTGCTTTGAATGCATTCATGGACAGAATTATATGAACATGAGATGATTTGTTCAGAAAATGGTGAGAAAAGTATTGGATTACTTTGAAAGATTAGAAAAAGCACTGAAGATATTTTAAAAGAATTAATATCATAAGAATTCAAAAAAGCATAAAGCTCATAAATGCATGACATGTAGAATTACTATTTGCCTGGCTGTTTTAAGTCATAATCATAAAAAACCGCATTTTCTGAAAGAATGTGAAAACTTTCGCTTTAAAAATTTTGCATAAATCATTCAGTAAATTTGTTTTATTACTGCATGTTGTAGAACTTTGATAGAACAATAAAACAGATTCATCTTTCACTGTTATAATTTAGCGAATTTTAAAAAGTTTTGACATATTCCAATATTTGTCTTTTTAGCCTCTAAGTCACAATGGCCAGTGTCTATTGCATAATTGTCTCGTTAAAGGGTCACCTTATATTAGCTGCAGCGATCTAAGCTCTCAACTACGAAGTGAACATATTCTAACTTTTATTTTGGTAGCAAATTTGAATCATTTTGCAAAGTAGATGATATTTATTTGTTCTTGAAATATTTTATCAATTAGATGCTAAAAACAGTATTTGTCAGTTAAAATTAATTCAACAACTGAAATGGTTTTCAAATGATAATTTGTTTTCACAATATCGCATACAAATTTTATCAAATGTCTGGAAAATTTTATCTATCAGTATTATCATTGCTGACAACTCAGATAACTGTCAATCTTTTCTTTTTTATTGATCATTTCATGTCGTTATACCATTCTCGTCGTCTTTCATTTATTCTAAATTTCAAACATCTGCCGTGCAAGCACTAAAATAATGCAATTAGATGCATGTATGAATTGAAAAAATCTTAGTTTCATTTCAATTATTCAAAATAAAACAAATGTGAAGTTGAATTCACTGAAATTTTTATTTTGTATACATGCAATAATGTGCCAGGCTAACAAATATCAACGATACTCTATAACTTTTATGACTATTTGAAGGTTTAAATAGTCTTTAATTCCAATTTCATGATTGAATTTTAATCAGTTTGCAAGCAAATTATATTTAGCTATTATTGTTAGCTAAATTAAAATTTCCAATCATTCGCATTTCACTTTTTTCCGATTGTAAATATGATCATTTTTAGCAAATAATGTAAAAAAATCATGGATTTCTGTTACATTTTTATCTAAAAGTATACAATAAATTAAACAAAGAGCGAACAGACGTTAGTGAATGACTGCAAAATATTAATGTTTACGATTTTGATAATATTTTAACGTCACGTTTGCTTATACAGCGATCAGAAATGGTGCCAGGCGGGAATTAGATATATTGAAAAGTTATCTGAAATTAAGTTGGTCATGGATCAAAATGTCCTTCACTGATGACGATCAATAATAATTGTTACTGAATCCAGGCAATATAAAAGGTCAACAACAAATGTTATTGCATTTATGGTCACAACAAGAAGTGGTGGATGGTGGAAAGAAGAAAGGTCATCATTAGATTGGTCCATTTGTATAATCATAGTTGACCTCTTTTCGCATGACCAGCCCAAATCGGCTCTTCTCGACTGATAATTTCAGTCATTAAACTTGTCTCATCCCTAAGATGACTCTTATTTTCTTTACAGTCTCTATTTTTAAGTTTGTCTTCTTTAATTAATATCATAAGAATTCATTTCAAGTATTCGTTTTTTACGGACACAAAGTTCGAAATCACACCCAAAAATCATTATCATTTTAATAATGTATTTCTATTTGGACTCAAAAGCAGTCATACCTTTGATAATCACAGATGTATCTAGAATGGAAATAATTGCAGGCAAAATGTTTGCTATTCCTCTAATCAACATGAGATTTCAAACAATTTACTGTAGGTGAATGTGCATATAAATAAAATTTAAAATATAATATAGTGGCACAGTCAAAGTCATGTGACTTCATATAGAATAATCCTGCATGGGAGTAGATTTAGACGAACTTATATTACGTTGTTTATTTGAGAAGCAAGTGGAAAGTTCCGAGATGCCGCCCTTTGTATTTTGCTATTTATTTCACTTTTTTATCAGTGATATTTTAGCTTTCGTTTGGTATCCAATTTTGACTTGCTTTGTTTAGAAGGATTGTCACAATGAAATATATACTGTTCTTCATCGCCATTCCTCTGTTGCTTACTGCAGCGGTATGCTTTATTTTCTAAATCTTTGCATTTTTTTAAAATCATAAAATGAGCATGTCAACAAGCATTTAAATTGTTGTTTGCCAGAATGAGATGGCCATAAGTTGAATTCCAAATTTTCACACACAAGTAGAACGAAAGGATGTTGTTTTGTTTCTTAATATAGTCATTATCTCAGTAAGTTGTTTGATATTATTAAATTTTAGTGGGAGAATGAATTTTAAAAATTTTATTTTACTAGTGTAAATAATATTCAAGGCAGTTGGCATAACTCAATCATTAAAAATGATAATTCTTGAATCATAATAAGGCATTTTTTAGCAACCTGTGGATGAGAGCAAAAAAACAAATGAAGTTCTTGCCAAAGATGAAGGTGAAACAGGTGTAAATGTCACGGAAAGTGATACCAAAAATGTTGCTTTGAGAGAAGATACAGAAGGGACACTTCAGAGCAATGAGACATTCCGCTCAGTCGATGATGCAATACTGAATGTTACGAAAGTTGAATCGGTGGAGCTATTAAATGTAATTCGAGCACATGACGTAAATGGGACTGAAGAAACTCCGAAAATAGGGCTTGATAAACCTGAAAAACCTAGCGATGAATCTAGAGATGCAATTCCAAAGGAACCGGAATTGGACGAGAAAATAGACAAGGTGCTTTTCTCTACTCCAGAAAGCGGAAAAGCTGAAGACAGCTCAGTAAAGGAGGAGGATTACACACCACTGGAGAAGAAACTTGATGATTTGAAAGCCGAAACTAAAGACGTTAGCAAATCGTCCTGAAATTTATCCAAACAGTTCAGTTTTTCCAGAAGTAAGTTTCAACTTTTGGATAATTATTTTTCAAATGTTATTTTTTGAAATTTCATATCATTGATATACTTTATTTATTTCAGGCGAAATGAAATTGTATCCATTTGTGAAATCAATCAGTGATAAATTTATTAGTTTGCTTGCTTTCATTCTGTTTTAAAGTTTCAAATAGGCGAACAAATTTTCCAAGAAATATTTGTAAGTGAAATTCATTTAACTTTAGGATTTAATTTGACACATTTTTTGTATTGTGAAGCAGAATTTACATGATGCTCAGAATGATTACAATGCGTTCTGTCTGTTGATATCAGGGATTCAAGTAAATATTTTTTCGATTCATGGTGTAAGCAACATTGCATCTCAAACGTATCACGCTGAACTTTTCCCAATTTGTTTAGCTATTTATATTCAGAGTTCAAGAATAAAATTTCTAAAACTCGTACATGAACAAACATCGCTGTTCTCGACTATTCATGAATAGGTGGAGGTTATCAAATGATTTATGCAGTTGCTACTTAGAATTTGTCCTCCATGGAGAGGATTCCAAAGTGAAGTGTAGTATGTAGTACTTAAAGACAATAAGTATTGTTGCAAACTGTTTTGATAACAAACTCTAATTAATGAATCTAAATAGTTTCGAATTCAAGAAAATATTTATATGCAATATGTGCTCTGTTGAGATTTCCATATCACATTACATGTCCAACTTGTGCATACCTTAGCAGCTCCGAAAACTATTAGCAAATGGGATAGTAACAATTAACAGAAATACTATTTTACAAAACACTTTGTCATATTTAATATGGAATAAAAAATTAAGAGCAGCTATCAGAAAAGTAAGTAATTTCAGCTGCAACAATGCAACTAAGACAGATTAAGATTTAAGTATTACTTTGTAGAGATAGAAAGACATTCAAAGTAATAAAGGATGGGGACAAGAATTATATGAGATAAAGTAGACGTAATGTTACTGTGTCATTTACGAAGAAGAAATTTTGAGTTCAAGGTTAACTTTTTGGCCGACATGAAATGAGAACGAGTTAGGAACTGATTCACACAGTAGTCGAATTTTCAATCTGAAAACTGCTCATATCTGACAAGGTCAAGTTAAGCTCCCATTACCATCATGAGAATTTATGATAAATCTAATTTTATGATTTCGAACTGCGTGAAATTAAATTAAATTAGTGAGCAATTTTAGCTAAACATCGACAGTTAGAACTACAAATAATCTCAAAAGCATAGTAAGTTCTTGAAAATTTTTAAGGAAAAAAATGTACCAATAAAAAAATATATAAAAGCAGAAAATTAGACAACAGAATTTAACTTTTCACATGAATTACTCAGGAGGTAGAATATGATTGATAAGTTAAAGAAAATAATAAATTATTTTCTTCTGAAATCGAATACTTTGAAAGGATTTTAGGTCTGCATCAAAATAATACAAATACAAAATAATAAGCTATGAATCAATGCAAAGAAATCATCCGCAATTTGATTATCGACTTCCAATATTATGCATAATTTTTAAGTTCTAATTGTGTTATAGAAATTTATGATAAATCTAATTTTATGATTTCGAACTGCGTGGAATTAAATTAAATTAACTGAGTGAGATTTATATAAATCTTACTTATTGCTAAATTATTTTAAATAAATGACTTTCTTCAATCCTTTATTGTGTATAACATAAGTTTTAATCTCTTAAATAAGCAATTGATAGAAATATTTGTTAAAAAAATGAAATTTTGAAATGAAAAAATTCATGCAATGGTAATAACTATGCATTTAAAACAAAACTTGTAAAGATTTTTTACTTTCTAAAATTTTCATACTAAAATAGAATAATGCGAGATAAATTTATTCAAATTATTTAAAATATAGCCAAACTTCTTGACTGAATAATATTTCTAAGCATTTAATATGTCAATATTTGAATTTTATCTGAGAATAAATGCTGCCTTCTGAGCAAATAAGTAAGCAAGCACTTTTCACTAAGCGTTGTTATTTGAAGTGCGCAAAGAGTGACCACTGTCCATTGCTAACATCACAACTTTCCTCAATGTTCCCTCTGTGCTTAATTAAATTTTTGATAACAGCCATCACTCATTCTATTTATGCAAATTTTTAACATTTGTTTTTGTATCTGTAGCACATATTGGTAAGAATTAAACATAATAGAATTAATTTGCAAACTTGGTTGTTTTTTATAAAATCTAATTTACCGATGAAATGTTTAAGGAAATCTGTAAATAATAGCTACAATAAATAATCAAAAAGTTATTAAAATAAAAACCGCATAAAAGCAAATTTCGAAGACAAATTGCTTGCAGTTCCTTGTGAATTTGCTTAAAATTTTGATATTAATAACTGAGATAAATTCTGAAAAAATTTAGTGTTATTAAACGTGTCATCAATTGTTTATTGTTATAATGCTATCTCACTTTTGAATATTTTCTCTACTAGTAAGCAGCTGTGTTTTATTTTGCTGTAATTTTCCGTTTCTAATTTGATATTCAATTTTTATGTCTCATTTCTTGTTCCAAATCTAATACAAATTTAAATTCGAATATTTCTATCAGTACAATTAATTATTACTGCCGCCTTAATTCATTTTTATATTGCAAAAAAAAAAAAATTTTACACATACAGTCAAAAAATTTATTAATCTATCAACAACTATTTTGTTAAATCTTAGATAG